TTTACTTGTTTACTTTCTTATTCTTGTTCCTCCCGAATTAATTCTCCATTTTTAATATTTAATAATCGAATAATGTTGAATTATAGAAAATATAGCCATCTAAAACAATTTTAACTTAAATGAGTGACAACCCTCACCCTCCTTTAAAGATTAGTACTTAGATAATTTTGCAAGTAAATCCGGATGGAGTGACAACCCTCACCCTCCTTTAAAGATTATTCTTACCTTAGAAAAAAATAGATCTAAAAAATAATGAAAATGAGAAAAATAACTAAAACCATACAAAATTAATCAAATAAATAATGTAATCAATAGAAATTAAACAGAAACTGGTAAGAAATAAAATAAATATATATGGAGTCGTGGGTTTAACATTTTACACACTATACGAAGTCTTAATGTACTACTTATTTTTTAAAAGAACAAGCCGTCCGGTAAAGTTGGAATTATTGTAGATAATTTTTTCTAAAAAATAAGAAGTGACATGTTAATACTTTGTATAATGCCTAAAATATTAAACCCACCCGTATATTTTTATTTTACTTTTACCAATTTCAAGTTAGTTTCCATTGACTTCAAAAAAAAAGTTAGTTTCCATTGATTACCTTATTTATTTTATTATTTTTGTATCATTTTAGTTACATTTCTCATTTTTTCATTTCTTATATCTATTATTTTTATTTTTTAAACTAAGACTAATCTTTAAAAAAGGAAAAAGAAATGATGATGGAGGTGGAAAGTAATTTAAAAAATTTAAATGAAAATTTCAAAAAAATTAAAAAACAAAAATTCATCAAAAATAATCCCAACTTTCATTTTGTTGCCCAAAACGGGCATTTCCGTTAACCCTCCGTTAGAAACTTAACGGCGACCCAAAACTGGCAAATTTCAGTAAAGTTGGGATTATTATGCATCGCAGTGAAAGGTGAGATTATTTTTGAAAGACCGGGTAAAGTTGGGATTATTTTGGGTAATTTTTTCTAATAATAATTTGAAAAGAACACGACCTTAGTCTTCTTGCACTTTTCTTACCTTTAATTTGTTTTTTATCGTGCTATGTGATTTCTATTGTGTTCGAATTAGGAATCTCTTGGAAATAGACTTTTTACTTTGAATATGAGTAAGGTCTCCTTCCCAGAGCCTACTTCTTTGAGATTCTAATAGGTTAATATTGTTAAGTTATACGGAGTACAAGAAAAATTACTCCTTTCATCTCGCACAAATTATCCTTTTCTTTTTTGTCCATGCTAAACTGAGATAATTTTTGTCAATGTTAAACTAAGATAGTTGGAACACCTTAGACAATAAATACAATCTAGGTGCCCTATGGCACACGGTGTGGGGCTTGGGGGTCGGCACTCTAACCTCCACTCATGCCTTTTGTCAAATCTCAATCACTTGGACACCCTGAGTCAGCCGGCACCACCATGCGTCTATTTGGCTTCTCCATACTTATATATGGAGTCATTCATGGTTAAGATAAGATAAATACACACAGCATAAGTCTATACTGTAGCAGACAAATATTTTTTTTACTTTTTCAGAAATATAGTTTGAAGAATGCCATATATTTCCCTCACTTGTGGACTTGCAATTTCACAGTAAAGATGACAATGAAGTACTGTATTATTTTCAAGGCCGCTTATGAAGCTCAAGTAGGGTAGTCTCAGTTTGGTGGGATGCCAGTATGCCCCTCACAAGGGCCAGTGCTGCCTCGGAAGTTTTCAGGGCTGTCATCCAACTGCTTCTCATCTTCTATATCAACCTCCAGGATTTCCTTATCATAGATATTCAACAAAGACAAAAGTCGAGTACTCAGATGTGAATGCTGATTTTACAATACCAATCTTGTAATGAGACAATATGACTACAGTAACTATCTCAACTCATCGTCATCTTCCGTTTACAATTTATTCTATGCAAGTAGAAAAAGGACGAGTGATAACATCGATGATGATTTTGAAATTTTCAATTCATTATTCCTTCGGGAACAAGCTCAGCCCGAACTATCTTTTTTCATGATCTTATTGTTGAGTTATGCTAGACGTACGAAAACACAAGCTAGAAAAGTTCAAAAAAACCTTATAATTAATGAAATGGGATTTGAATGTACTAAACTTTGATACAATTTATTATTAGTAATTACTCGGTATAATTTACTACACTACGAGTTTAGTTAAACCACAAAAATGGAATGTGAGTGTGAACAAACTTTGATATAGAAAATAATAAAACAAAAAATAATTGGATTGACCACTTAAATAGTACTCCGTACTCCATAACTAGGACACATGAAATGGGAGAGAGCTAGTGCGTAGCACTTATTGATAAGTCTCTTTGCACTTATAACCTTTTCGTTTATTATTATACGACGTATTAACTAAATGTAGATAAGCAAATGACACTGGAATTCACATCACCAGCCCAAAAATGTCCACATAGCTAGGATTACGGTGATGTTTGTGAAGATATAACAGACAAAATCAATTTAGAGAAAAAAAAAAGGATTCGCATATACACAGAAAAGCTTAGAATCTCATAATGAAAATGAAACATAGGAGGTTCTTACCGGGATTTTTTTCTTCAAGTAATTGCCAATCCTAGCTAAAACAGTGGAACGCTTATGCCAAAACTTGCCACTTAAACTGATCTTCACATAGGGTCCATCCACTTCTGCCAGTTCTACTTTGCCTGGATATAACACACACACCACACACATTATAATTTCATTTGGTCATCGAACCATACAACTCACGAAATCCCATGACGAGGTTGAGGAATTACCTGTTATCCCAACAGAGGTATCAAACAGTTGAGCAAGCTGCGCACCGATATGAAAATGTTAAGGAATGCTAATTTATTTACCTGATAAGGGGTTAGAACAGAATCATTACATAGACAATTGCACATTAAGACTATCTTCTGTCAATCTTAATAGGAGAATTAATCCAATGTTTATAAGTTGATTTATAAAATTATTTGGTTATCTTGAAGTATGTATTCTCTATGTTCCATATTAAGACATTTGATCCTTTCTAAAAGGTCAATTTAATAGGGGCGGAAAAGTCCATTTTTTATAACATTCCACCGGTGTATGATGGCTTAACATAAGACAAAAGGGGATTTTTGGTATGCCAAATAAAAACGAAAGAATTGAGGGATCGTTTTAACTCCAAATCAACTGAAGTGATATTTAGTAGGTTATTTGGATAAACCAACTAGTTGTCAGCTCAGACCCAACAAAATGTCAAGAACTTAGTACTGAAGGAAAGCATAATCCTAAGGAGACATAAATATTGGATATGTCATACAGCCGGCTGTACGTTCATAAATTAGTTGCAGCAACAAAGTGCAGGAAGAGACGGATATTAGCAGCAGCAACGAAGAGAGGAAGGCAATGGCGGCGTTACAAATCGAGGATGGCGATGGTGGCGAAAACCCTAGGTCAGATGTACGGAGAAGGCGATGGAAGCGTTACAGATCGGGGAATTCGGCGACCTGGGTCAAAACCCTAGGTCCGGCAACATGGAGCGACGAAGGAGAGGCTGCAAATTTGCTGAACTGGGTGGTATGAAGTGTACGTTGCTTCAGAATGAACACTACGTTATTTGAGAATGAAAACTATGTTGTTTCAGAATGAAAACTACGTTATTCGTAAATGAATATTATAATTGTAATGAACAAACATGTGAAAATGAACATTGCGTTGTTTCAGAATGAGTACTTTGTTGATCCAAAATGAACACCACGTTTTTTCAAAATGAATACTCTTTTACTCCAAAATGAACCCTTGTGCTTGGTGCGAAAATGAGTACCACCTTACTCCAAAATGAGTACTACCCGACTCTACCATAGTTTCTGTCCAGCGGCTGTACAATATACGCACTCTAAACATATTATCAAGTACGGTAATATTCTTAAGAGACACATATTCCTTGAGCAAAGATCACATGTATAATTCATCATAACCACACAAAAATGTCACTTAAGAATGTCCTAATTTCACGCCTCTACCGTTTTTGTAAGGGAAAAGGTTCAATTTAACTACAGGGGCATATTAACACTTGAGGACATGCACAGATTGATCCGTTATTTTTATTGCTCGAAGTTCAAATTGGAACTTAAATGCTAAAACAGAAGTTGTTATTACCTCTGTCCGAGCATCAACCAAGACCTGCTTAACATTGTCTTCTGTCAAATCAAGGGAAGCTGATGCCGAAGGGCGGTTGAATGAGCTGTTGGCTGATGACTTCTGCCGCCGCTTTCTGCTAGCCGGAGACATCAATCTCGCGCAACCGCTCCAGAGTCTCGGCGGTGCCGCATGACATTGATAGAGCTTCGAAGAGGTTGTAAGTGAAGCGAGATTCGGGAGCGACGGCAAGAGGTAGTACTGGCCGGAGTGGAGCTGAAATGACATTCCTCTATCCCTTCTCTTTCTCCTTCTCAAATTTACTTGCCTTTGTTTTATCCCAATCTTCGCGTAATAGGGTGCCGGGTGCCCAGATCAATTCAAAGAAGACCAACAGGGACAAGTGTTTGGACGGTAGACTTGGTCTTGGACTTTTAATTTAGGACTTTTTTTTGGCAATAATTTAAGAAAATATCTTAAGATTATATTTTATAAATTCAAAGTTCCCACGACATTACCCGGCAATGTCATGGAAAACTTGCCCATTTTATAATTGGTCTTTTGTAGTAGAGATTTATTATATTTAGTCGTCTATCAATTAATATTACCGTACATTCATTGTCCTTTAATAAGTACATTTTTTAGATAGTTCTTTTTTTAAAATTTTGTCATATTCATATTAAATTTATGACTAAAAATGTAATTTCACATCAACTCTATGTTCAGTGACATATTCAAATACTGGCTTGATGTACACCACAACAATAATGACTATGATTTAGGCCAGAGATAGCATATGTAGACTTTGACTAAAGTAAAAAAGCGATTCCAATTGTCAAAACGACACATCAGTATCGATCTTTGACACTAGCTATGTATGACAAAAACATTTATGATCATTGTAAAATAATACTTTTAACTCTAAATTTAACACGAACTTGACAAAAGGTCAAAAAAGTATATTCATGAAAAGATACCTATTAAAGAAAGACTGTGGATGTAATATTTGATAATAGAAGACTACATATGGAAAATCTTATGTTATAAATGACCAATAATAGAATTTACTATAAGATTTAAATAGCATCTAAGTTGCTTAAAACATCTTTAATGCAAGTTGTTACTAATGAATTTCTTATGAATACTTTAATAAAGAAATATTGTGGTAGCTTCTAAAAAGGAAGTACCATTACTTCTTCACTTTGTTTGAAGGTTACTTCACTAGGTGGCGATAACTTATCTTTTAATAATAAAAAGAAGTTGAACTAATCTATACAAGCAACTTGTATTAAAGATACTCTTAATTAGGTGGGTTGTTTCGCCTACAAACCTTATGTAGAGCACCAAGTGTTTCATTATAAAAAGAATTACTTACTTAAGCAACATATCTTAGTTTAATATTATTAACATAATTCAAAGAAACTCACCTAACCATTGTTATAGATAATCTTACCTATAACCATTGTTGCTCCTGCAACTAGGGGCGGACCCACATTGGGTCACACGGGGTCAAGCGATCCCACGGAAATTTTAAATTTTTTTAGTATATATTTATATATATATATGTAAATAATTTTTTTAGTGTATACCTATATATAGTATATAGTCTACAAAACGCTACAAGTTTCAACTCGCCAGTGTTGAAGGAGTGGAGAGATCCGTTTTTATCATTCGAGTGGGCAGTCCTGTGTTCGAATCCACCTTAGGGTGGTGACTCTATATTTTATTTTTTGGAAGATTGATATCTAAAATTGTGTCGTTTTGTTTCTTTTTTTCTGTTTTTTTTTCCAATTTTCTCTTAAACCTATAGTTCCAATCCACCCATCCCAATTCGGCACGTTCCCAGACCTAATTGCAATCGGAACTTGAGACTGACCCATCCTCTCTCGCCGACGGCCGTCTACAAACCTCCGTCGGACCGCCGACCGCCACTTGGAAGTTGGAACCGCCGAGGACCCCCAAGGCCCCAATTTCTCGAACAAATATTCTCTTTGACAGATTTTTTTCTCTTACACAATTGAATCTAATTATCTAAATTGGATATTTCTTTTTTTATTTGTAAATTGTGAAAATTTTAATTTATTGTTATAAATTTGTTATAGTGAATAGCAGAATAGGGAATTGAATTCGTTCATTTATTTTGTAAGATTGTGATTTGTGAATATGTTAAGAATGAGGTTCGAAACAAAATTTGTGACCAATGGTTAAATGATTGTCTAGCGACATATATTGAAAGAGATGCCTTTGCTACTATTAGCAATGATAAAATAATAAATCACTTTCAAAATATGAGAACTAGACGTTATCAATTGTAAGATGTATTTCACATTTGCAATGTAGAATTATTTTTATTTAGTATTTTAATTTCAATAATATATATAAACTTTAATGTTATGTATTATAGAATATTGTTTATTTACTATTAGAAGCGTGATGGTTGGATATAAATTTTCTAAATTGCGACCCCATGATATAAATGTTCTGGGTCCGCCCTGCCTGCAACCAACTCGATACCTACAACTTCAGTTAGATGGAATCCCCGTATCCCCTCTGGCTTTTATTTAGTCGGTGCATTTAATGCAGTTCGATGTTCAAGCTTATTCGTGTATTACCCTCCTACAGATATTTTTCATGTTTTGACACGTACTCGGAGATGTGACTTCGGGTTCCGTGTGATCATTCGATGCCTAGCGTGAATTAACTTGTGACGCTTTTCGCGTTCAGTACATTATCAATCTCGCGATCGATTCGCTCTTCTCTACACGTACCTTATTTTATTCAGGCCAGCACAATCAAGATTGAGTTGATTTATTATGTTTATTGAGTCTATTTCTTAAACAGTTCATTCAGTCATACTATTGAAATGAGTAGGGCATTCTACGAACATCGCCATTGTCACTATCACTAACGTTATTGACATCTCTTTTTTTACATATTCAGCACATACTGGAGCACCCTAGTTTATCTTACTCATGGTGTGTGTCGTTCTCTTTTTTCTTAATGTCTTCCAACAACCATTCCTTTCTTATACCGAAATAAGACTCCTTCATCCATCCAGGTCTACAACCCCTTTAGAATTTGGTTGTCCTTCCCATGATGAGCGAGGCAATTAGATCTTAGGTAACATATTTTATTATTCATATCCTTTTTTATAATGTAACATGATTGACAAGTCGTCATAGACTTTTGTGAAGTAGGAACACATTTAACATATCGCTAACTTTGGAAGCAATTACACATTCTTAGTCTAGCAACCAATACTTGGTTATATCAAGAGTATTTATTCACATATAACAGTGGTTATTCACCTAGAGCAAAACTTATTTTTTTATGCATAGAAAAATGTTAACACAAAATACAATTCAGTTACATCCTGGGGCAGAGACAATGTGAAGGATGCGAATGCAGGCTTAAGAACCATGTCCCTTATTATTTCATTATTATCGGAAACAATTTACTTCCACACACACACTCACACACACACACACACATATGTATGTATGTATGTATGTATGTATGTATGTATGTATGTATGTATGTATGTATGTATGTATGTATGTATGTATGGGGAATAACCCCACGTCAGCCTAGGGCTGACATCAACATAAATTTCCCTAAGTATCGGGCTTGGACATTTCTGCTCGGTCATCTCTGCTTGCCACCTGAGCTCCGCTCGTCCCTCCTGCTCGGCCCACGAGCTCCGCTCGTCCCTCCTGCTCAGCTCCGCCAACCGAGCCAAGCCCGAACCCCGCGACAACGACTTGAAGAAAACGATGTGCGACAAAGACTTGATGAAAGCGATAGGATGAAAGTGACAAGACCAAGGGACAGTTGACGTCCGCTAAACGACGAGACTCGATCAGAGGGCTTTGACTTAATGTATTGCACCCCCTATAAAAGGGGTGGCACCCCTCATTGTAATGGATCCGAATTCTAAGTCAATATACTCCTACTTTGCATTCTCTCTCTCTAAAACTTATATTATTTGATATTCTCGGTGGTTTATAACCATCAAATTGGTGCTTTCATTGAGAGTTGAGGAACATACTCGTAGGTTAACTCCCGGAAGCGAGAATGGTGCAAACAAGGAGCAACGTCCCCACCACTAGCCACGTCGGTGGTGAGGAGAACGCGCCGGGCAGCGGCAACGGTACGGGAGGTATCGGTTCGACTCCGGACGCGGCCCAGGCGCTGTTCGGCTTGGGGGTGACCACGGAGCAGCTCCAGGCAGCCGTAGCGGCATTTTCCGCCATGGGTGGGAACGTGCCTGGCGCCGGAGCTGGCAAAGCTCCGCCCGGTCCCCATGCCGAACACGCTACCACTTCCCAGCACAAGGGGAGGAAGACCCGGAGGAGCAGAAGGAGGCCCGGCAATGCTCTGGTGTTCGAGGAGGTGCTGGTGGAAGACATCCCCGAAGGAGAAGACGATGAGTCCAGCGAGTGCCGAGTATCCGCCTTCAAGCGCGTAGGAGGTGAAGAGACTCGGGTGTCGGCCTTCGACAGGCTCGACTGCGGACCGGAAGGCCAACCGGGCGACCTCCACCGAAAAATATCCGAAGGCAGGCGGAGGCATGCTGAGGAGTCCGCGACATCGGATGCTCGCTCGGCGAGGCCCGAGCGGAGCAGAGAAAGGCGGGACGAGCGCACCCAGCGTCGCCATAGTCCGACGAGAACCGAGAAGACAAAGGTCTCTGACCAAGGGGTATCTCGGCTCGCTCGTGAGATTTCCGAGCTCAAGCGCCGAGTGGAGACCAGGGCTCCCTACTGCTAGCCCATCTTGCGGACGGTAACCCCGTTCACTCTAAGGGTTATGTCGATTCCGCTGCCGGCAAACTTTAGGCCGTGGCAGATCAAGGCCTACAACGGAACGACGGACTCTCAAGATCATTTGTCTAAGTTCTATGCTTCCATGGAAGCGGCGGCAGCCCCGGACGAGGTCAAGTGCCGATGCTTTCTTGCGACGCTGGAGGGCTCCGCGTGTGATTGGTTCAACCGGCTCCCGAAGGGAACCATTGACGATTGGGATACGCTAGCGGAGAAGTTCCTAACGCACTTTGCAGCCAACAGGAGGCAAAGGATGCCCTACTCCCACCTGCTCAACATCTGCATCTGCAAAGGAGAAAAGGTCCGCGACTTCATAGTCCGGTGGGAGAAGGAAGCTAGAGACGTGCACGGGGCGGATGACCAAGCCTTAATGGCCATGTTCCAAGCAGCCCTTCCCCGCGGAGAAGTGAGGAAGGAGCTCCGCAAGAACCCTCCCCCCACGTACCAAGAGACCTTGGCACGCGCTAAGTTCTTGGCCTCGGAAGAGTTCGATGATGCCCCCGACTTCGAGGCCGGGCCGGCCAAGCGAGCTCCCGCTGATTCTGGGGAGATAGCGAAGAAGAGGAAGAAGAAGAAAGACTACACCGCGGGCCCGAGGACGCCCTCGGCTGGTGTGTACTCCGTGGGCGCGCCCGTGGGGACGGGTCGAGAGCTTGCCCTCTCCCCGCTCCCTCACGTAGATGCTTACGCGGTGTCCAGCGGCGTCAAGTACTGCGAGTATCATTGCAACAACACTCATAACACTAAGGAATGCTTCACTCTTCAGAAGGAGATGCAGCGACTTATCGCCCGAGGGCCGGCTCCGCGAGACGATGGGGCAGCCCCTTCCCGGGGTCCGTCGGAAGGAAGAACGTGGAGGAAGCCGACCGAACCGGTCGTGGTGGCAATGCAAGCAAGGAACCCCGAGAAGAGGCACATTGGGCGAGAGTGCGATGATCTAGACGAGGACGAAGCCCAAGGATATCCGGTGGGATTTATCCATGGAGGAAACATTGGCGGGGACTCCGTCGCTCAAAGGAAGAGGTAGAAGCACATGGCCTTCATTGCCAAAGTCCATCAAGCGCCGGCACCCAAGCTCGGAAGACGAGAGCAAATCCAATTCACGGAGAAGGATCTTCCGAACACGCCAAGCCCCCACCGAGATGCCTTGGTCGTGAAGATAGAGATTAACGATGCCATAGTACACCGCACCTTGGTGGACACGGGAAGCTCGGTCAACATAATGTATGAGAAGACCTTCCAAGACCTTGGCTTGAACCACAAAGACTTAAGGCCCGTGCGCACTCCTCTCTCCGGGTTCACAGGGGACTCCATCGAGGCCGAAGGAGTCATCCCCGTGCCCGTGATAGTAGGGGATGGTGCGCACAAGGCCAAGCTAAAGATGGATTTTATGGTTGTAAGCATCAATTGCGCGCACAACATGATCCTAGGACGGCCCGGCCTTGAGGACTTGGAATGTGTGATCTCCCCATACTACTTGTGCATGAAGTTCCCCACTCCTTCGGGAATCGGGGTGGCCAGGGGAGACCAAAAGTTGGCTCGATCGTGCTACGTCCGAATCACGAAGAAGTTGCCAAGGGATGAGATGTTGGTCGTGCACGCGCAGGAGGAAATGTGAAAGTTGGAAGCACGACCGAAGGCCGAGCCCGCCGAGGAAGTCGAAGAAGTGCAGCTCGACCCTCGGACATCCGAGCGGAAGGTGAAGATCGAGGCGAGCCTAAATGGGAACCAACGGAAGCGCTTGGTGGACGTGCTCTCTGCCTACTACGTGATCTTTGCGTGGGTACTCGGGGATATGCCGGGGGTGGACCCCAAGGTCATATGTCACCGCTTGGCAGTCAATCCGGAGGCTAGGCCGGTGAAGCAAAAGAAGCGGTTCCTCTTGTCCGAGCGGAGGGAGTTTATCGCCAAAGAAGTAGCCACCCTCCAGAGCATAGGACATATCAGAGAAGTCAAGTACCCGGAGTGGATGGCCAACGTGGTGCTGGCACCAAAGGGAAACACTTGGAGGATGTGCGTGGACTACACCGATCTGAACAAGGCATGCCCCATGGATCCATTCCCACTCCCGAACATCGACCAGCTGGTGGACGAAACGGCGGGTTGTGAGCTCATGAGTTTCATGGACGCCTTCAGCGGGTATCACCAAATCCGAATGCACCTTGAGGACGAAGAGAAGACATCTTTCACTACCCCCGGCGGGGTATATTGTTACAAGGTAATGCCTTTTGGGCTCAAGAACGCCGGGGCAACTTATGCTAGGATGGTAAGCAAGCTCTTCGCGCCCGTCCTCGGGAAGAGCATGGAAGCATACGTCGACGACATGATTGTGAAGAGCAAGCAGGCGACCACCCATCCGGAAGACTTAGAAGGAGTTTTCAAAATCATGGAGAAGTACAACCTTCGGTTGAATCCGAAGAAGTGCACGTTTGGAGTTCAAGGCAGAAAGTTCTTGGGACATATGGTGAGCCAGCGCGGTATCGAGCCCAACCCTGAGAAGGTGCGCGCCATCCTTGACATGGAAGCTCCACGAAATGTCAAGGAGGTGCAGCGCTTGACTATGAAGTTGGCTGCGCTCAGCCGTTTCCTCTCTAAGGTGGCGGACCGAGCCGCTCCATTCTTCCAAGCCGTGAAGAAGTCTCGAGGGTTCGTATGGACATAAGACTGTCAACAATCCTTTGAATCTCTTAAGTCTTACCTCCTCTCTCCTCCGGTCCTCGCCAAGCCTGAGGCCGGGGAGACCTTGTATATTTATTTGGGAGTGTCGCCTAAGGCATTGAGCTCGGTCTTAGTCCAGGACGAAGGCGGAGCTCAGCATCCGATATACTATACGGCGAAGACACTGAGGGGCGCCGAGCTCAGGTACTCAGTGGCCGAAAAGACGGTTCTGGCCGTGGTTTCAACCGTGTAGCGGCTTACACCCTACTTCCAAGCTCACCCGGTCCAAGTGCTCTCCTAACAGCCCATAGGTGCGCTGCTCAGAAGTCCGAACGCGCCCTCTCGCATGTCCAAGTGGGCGGTGTTCCTTGGAGCTTTCCAGATCAAGTTCAAGCCAAGGCCAGCGATCAAGGGCCAAGAACTAGCTGACTTCGTGGTGGAATGTACCGCTCGGGAAGAGCCGAGCCCGGAAGAGCCTGAAACCGACGATTGGTGGATAGTTTTTACCGACGGCTCCTCCGCCGCCAAAAACTCGGGGGGTGGAGTGGTAGTCATCGCTCCCGAAGGTTTCAGAGCATATTACTCAATCCGATTCGGTTTCAAGGCATCAAATAATGAAGCGGAATATGAAGCGCTCCTGTGCGGGCTACGCCTAGCAGCTGGGATGAACGCGACAAAGCTAAGGGTAAAATGTGACTCGAAGCTGGTGGTTGGCTACGTCTCGGGAGAGTTCGAGGCGAAGGACGAAAGAATGAAGAAGTACAGAGATACCGCTCTAGAATTACTTAAGAGCTTCACCGCGTATAGTGTTGAGCAGATCCCTCGGGCGGAGAATGCCGAGGCGGATATCTTGTCGAAGCTGAGCTCAGACACGCCCGAGCATATCAGGCGAATGGCGAACGTGGAAGAGTTGTCCGAACCGAGCATCCATGCTTTCCTTGTGGCAATGATATGTGCTCGGCCAAGAGATTGGATGGACGACATAGTCGCCTTCCTGAAGGATGGCGCCCTCCCGGATGATGCAATAAAGGCCAAGCTGGTCCGGACTAGGGCACCAGGGTACACTTTGGAGGGCGAAAAGCTATACAAGCGAGCGTACAACTGTACGCTACTCAGGTGCCTCCGACCAGCCGAAGCGGAACAAGTCATGGAGGAGGTGCACGTCGGGATTTGCTCCACCCACCAGGGAGCATACGCAGTGTCGAGGAAGATAACCCTCCAAGGATATTTTTGGCCAACAATTGTTAAGGATTGCACGGAGTTCGTGAAAAAGTGCAAGGTTTGCCAAGAGTTCCAGAAGGTACCGGGGAGGCCTTCAACAAACTATACCCCCATCAGCACAGCTATCCCGTTCACGCAGTGGGGGGTGGACCTTGTGGGCGCGCTTCCTAGAGGTACCGGGAACGTAAGGTACATCATTGTAGCCATCGACTATTTCACCAAGTGGGTGGAGGCAGCCCCATTGGCAAGCATCACCGGAGCTCAATGCCAGAAGTTTCTCGCAAAGCAAGTCATCTGCCGCTTCAGCGTTCCCGAGCACGTCATCATATACAATGGGACACAATTCGAGTCCAAGCCCTTCAACGACTTCCTTGAAAGTTGGGGGATCAAGCACAGCTATGCGTCGGTTGGGTACCCAGAGACGAACGGGCAGGTCGAGAATGCCAACCGAACGATAGTCGACGCGCTGAAGTGGAAGTTAGAAGCTTGCGGAGGGGAGTGGGCAGAAGAGTTGCCCTACATCCTATGGACCTACCGGACCACGTCCCGAAGGGCAACTGGGGAAACTCCCTTCGCCCTATGCTACGAATTCGAGGAAAGGGCACCCGCAGAGATCTCCATCGCAAACCACCGGGAGGAGGTCTTTGACCCCGAGCGCAATGAGGAAGCCCTGGCAGCCGAGCTCCACCTCGTGCATGAAAGACGAGAAGCGGCCTTCATACGGGTAGAGAATTATCGAAGGAAAGTGAAGAGCTACCATGACGGGAGCGTGCGCGCGCGTGGATTCATCGAAGGAGATTGGGTGCTGCGCAAAAGGACGGTGAGCCGCCCCCTAGAAGGTGGAAAGTTTGCCAAAAATTACGAAGGCCCGTACATCATCAAAGAAGTGGTGGGCCCTTGGACGTTCCGCCTGCAGACGCCGAGCGGAGGGGAAGTGCCCAAGACATGGAACGCCGAAAACTTAGTTAAGTTTTATCAGTAGAACTCTGATGTACACGGGCCCCAAAAAGGGAACCCGTAAACCCTTTCGGGTTGAACTCAATGGAATGAAGTTTTGCGAACATAGCCTACTTGACTCTGAAGTTTTTTTGCGAACACTCACGCTTGGCGCTCCTCCTCGGAAGGAAGGCCGAGCGCAGACCATACCCGAATGTTTTTCCCGGATGAAGGTCAAACACTCGTGCTCGGCGCTCCTCCTCAGAAGGAGGGCCGAGCGCAGATCATACCCGGATGTTTTTCCCGGATGAAGGTCAAACACTCGTGCTCGGCGCTCCTCCTCGGAAGGAAGGCCGAGCGCAGACCATACTCGGATGTTTTTCCCGGATGAAGGTCAAACACTCGTGCTCGGCGCTCCTCCTCGGAAGGAGGGCCGAGCGCAGATCATACCCGGATGTTTTTCCCGGATGAAGGTCAAACACTCGTGCTCGGCGCTCCTCCTCGGAAGGAAGGCCGAGCGCAGACCATACCCGGATGTTTTTCCCGGATGAAGGTCGAGCGCTCGCGCTCAGCGCTCCTCCTCGGAAGGAAGGCCTAGCGCAGACCATACCCGGATGTTTTTCCCGGATGAAGGTCAGACACTCGCGCTCGGCGCTCCTCCTCGGAAGGAAGGCCGAGCGCAGGCCACGCTTGGATGTCTTTCCCGGGTGAAGGCCGAACATTCGCGCTCGAAACGAATAACTAAGAGCAAGACTTAAGATCAAATTCAAATTCTATTCATCTCTGAAAAAGGGGCAAGTACACGGCGCAAACGCCTTACAATAATTAAAATACAAAAATAAACTTCAATGCATTCCACAATTCCACCCTCTTTGCATGGGCACGGCGGGGGATAAGACGGTGGTGAAGGAGCCCTCCCAACAAAAGAATGGCCAGTGGACTCGCCAATGCTAGGCGAGCCCGGGTCTTCGTTGAATTGGCGACTTGGATGGTGTGACGCCACTGAGCTCTCGCCGGGGCCATCCACCGGAGGAGTTGGAGGACGACGCCTTCGGCCTCAACGATCGGGAGCAGCCGGGGGAGCGACTAGCTACCTCCACGCGATGAGCGGGCCGGGGAGGAGTTTTGACCTCCTCCTCCGAGGAGTAGTAGATAAACCCCGGGATTTTCGCAAAGGGGTCAGGGTGCACCAACTCGGACTCGGAGTCGGAATCCCATGAGTAGGGCTGTCAATGGATAACCGAAAATCCGATTACCGTCTGCATCCATATCCGTTTAAAGAGGAAATATCCGCATCCGTTTTAAACGGATATTATCCGTATCCTATTAAGGATATCCGATTACTAAACGGATACGGATTTGGTAATTGTATATCCGATCCATTTATAATCTGATCTGAATATGCATCCATTTAAATAACCGTTTATCCGAATATCCGATTCGTTATATATAGTTTTTCCTAATTTTTTTATGTTTATATTTTGTTTCTCTATTGATATTTCAAAGTATAAGACATTTTTATATGCAAAATAAACGTCTAGACGCATAAATATATGGGCAGACATATAAAAATATGTGTATATGTGTGATATGTATATTTTTTATCATATGAAGTTATAGTAGAATATCATATATCATGAAAACAAAGAAAATAATTATTCCATAACAAATTATAGTTGATTTAATAATAGTTTGACTTTAATCTAATTTAAAATTAAAGTATAGTTTAATTTGATTTTAAAAATTGGAAACGGATACGGATATATCTGATATCCGACCGATGCGGATACGGTTTTGATTTTCAGTATCCGTCAAGATCCGTATCCGAATTCGATATCCGACAAAAATAAATGGATACGGATTTGGTAATGACACATTCGATCCGATTAATATCTGTTTACACCCTTACCCACGAGTCCCGCGTGGGAGGCGGAGGAGTTGAGCTCGGCCCGGACTTTGTCGGGATGGCGGAAGAGCCCCCAGGCGAGTAGCTGCTGAGGGAGAGTGTTTCTCCCCGCATTTCGCTTGAGTTGGGAGGAGTTGGAGCAGAGTGAGACATGGGAAGAATGCTTTGTGCAAAAATCGTTATGAAAGCCCCCTTCCTTATATAGGTCATGTGTTGTATCTAAGCTCCGGGTTTGTCGGTATGAAGCTCGGATTTAAGGAACAAGCTCCTTCTTTTGCTGGATGGGTTGATAGTCGATTATCAGTATGGTGATAATCGATTATATAGGACTGCAGGAGTTTCCCTTGATGTATGATAATCGATTGTCCAAGTAGGATAATCGATTGTCAAGTGATTCAGTTTCTCAGGAGGAGCTTCAGAAGTTTAGGAGAAGTAAACAATCGATTTACAAGAAGTGATAATCGATTATGGAAGGCTGCAGAATTTCTGGGGAACCTGATAATCGATTGTCTAAGGAAGACAGTCGATTGTTGAAGGCTGCAGATATTTTTACGGAGGAATGATAATCGATTGTTAACAAGGATAATCGATTATTTTGGCAGATTTATGGGAACGAAATGATGGTGTTTGTGTGGGGAAAGGCTGGAAAAATATGGGGATGATGAAGGAGTTCTTTTGGGTATTTTTAATGGAAGAAAAGAGTAAGATTAAGAGGAGAAATGGGGAGGTATGAAATGGAAGAAAATCAGGGATAGATAAACCAAGTTGGTGTTTAAGAAATATTACACACTCTTATCCTAACTTGGGGTTTGAATCTAGAATTTAATTAAGATATGACACACTTAATCAAATATCTAGAACCTAAAACTCACACTTAAGATAACCACTCTTAAGATATAGAATTAGGAATTTGGCTAAAATAGCATCACACTATTTTAATAATACTCAAAGAGTAAAAGATTTTAATATTCAAGAGATGTTCTACNTGTTTCCTGATTTTTTTAAGGCTATTATTTGGGTAAAATGAGGGGTTGTGTTTGCTGAGAAAAGGGGGCAGGGATGGGGGCTATAATGGGTGGTTTTGGACTTATGGGTTTGGGTTATTTGTGAGGGAATATGGGCAGGAATTAGGGGCTGGAGGTGGGTCATGGTTTTGGCTCTTTGTGGGTGTTATGTTGGGATTGTGAGGTTTATTTGGGCAGGGAATGAAAGGAAGGAAGAGAGGGTTTTATTAAAAGGCTTAAAAGAAGGAAAATAACAACAAACAAAAAGGCTTTGGTTTACACACTCTTATTTTCGGCCAGGGCTAAAGAGTAGGAAAAACTTTATTTTGAAAAGGAAATATTTTGGATGTTTAGGGAAGGTATGGGGAGTGTGGGCCCAGTCTCGGATGTGGGACATGGGGGAGGGTATGATAGGGCCAAGCCCGGATAAAACATCCTCCCGGTCTTCAAAAGAGTTTTCCCTCAAACTCAACGGATAATCGAGACCGTCATATGGACTGAGGTCTCTCTTACGGAACGTGGCAGAAACTCCATCACTTTTACTAAGGGCAACCATGTAGGCATTGTTAGTGACCTTGGCTACCACTTCAAATGGACCATCATTTCGAGGTTGAAGCTTTGCCTTGCATTTTCCAGAGAAACGCTCTCTTTGCACATGGACCCACACTAGGTCTCCGGGCTGATAGTGGATGGAACTTTTTAACTCTCTCTTCATAAGCTTTTTACGAGTCTTATGATAAAACTCGGAAGTTTCTTCTTCACATAGAACCTGCAAAAACTTAACAAATTTGGCACGAGGTGCCGTTAGTGAAGATAGCCTTTGAGGTGAGGCTTCCACATCTGGGCTCATAGCTCCATGTTGAACCTTCTTCTCATTAACTTGCATATTTAAGCTAGGAAATCCACAGCTTAAGAACTCATCTCTGGTGGTAACAACATCCTTCTTCTCTAAACCGCCATTGGGTTTGTTTTCACCTAAACTTAGATGAACCCGGGGTTCTATCCCTTGGTTAGGTGCGGTCAGGGGTAGGAATAAGCATGCCGGTGAACCTTTTCTCAATGAATGCATATCCACAAAATTAGGTGTCCATGTCCTGTCAATATGAAATAAAGAAAAACTACGCAATTCCACTCGTAGTTCTCTTCCGTGGTTGAGCCATTCTATTGTACCCGAGACCCGGGGTGGTCTAGGATATCAATTTAAGAAGAGAAAGAAGAAGAGAAGGTGTAGAAATATAGGGGAGGCTGAATTCAGGAGAAAACAAGGGAGAGGGAAAGAAGCATTTATCAAATGAATAATAAGAAGAATCACACACACTTATCTTCACTCGGGTTAAACTCTAGTATTTAAATAAGGAATGACTCAACTTATTTAATATATCTAGAACCTAAAACTTCCACTTAAGAGAACCACTCTTAAGATAAAGAATTAGGATTTAATATATAGAATTTAGAGAGAGACTGAGCAAGAAAATTATATTATCACAATATATGTTTACAAGCTGATTATACAATGAACTAGGGCTGAAATATATAGGCCATGGAATGGAGAAAACAATACAACAAACATGATTACATGATAAATAAAATACAACAAAGGAAACTGCCCACTTCTTTCCTACAAAATAAAACAAATGCTGTGCATGTGTTAATATCCCAAATGAGTTGAATTCTTGGCTAATGATCAGGGATTTTGGCATGTATTTTGAGTGGTTTTATGTATGATTTTCGTCCTTAGGGTGAAGGAATAAAGGAAACAACATGGCTTGACTTCTAGTGAAATATAGGACAGAATTTTACTATTCAATCAAAGACTTTTTGGGCAGGCACATGGATGAGGGATTAAGCTTATAAAAGTCTTTGATTTTGTTGAATAATAACATGGGAATTTCGTCCATATATAGTGGGAATGATATTTAGTCAAGTGTGTTCCTAAATGACAAAACCTTTACTGTTAAATCAGAGACCACTTTGGTTTCTAGGTTCTGAGACAGGTGATAATCGATTATCTGTTACTGATAATCGATTAACAAGGTGTGTCTGCTAAACCAAGAATTTTCTGAGGTATCCAGTAGTCGATTGACACAAAAAGATTAATCGATTATCAAGGACTGGTTTCGAAAACTGGATATCTTCTAAGATGAGTGATAATCGATTTTCTATTGGGAGATAATCGATTATGGAGCATTGCAGGAATACGTTAGGAGGATTCAGAGGGA